ACTGCCGGTACAACCAAGGTGACTACAAATAGGTGTTCTAATGTGTCAAATTCATGATTCAGCCATGTTGGATTTTTGTATGGGACAGCGACCGAGTTTGTTTACAATTTGCTCTAAAACCGCACTTTTCCCCCCCGCGGCCTCCTCGCCTATATAGTGACAAAGCTGTATCACCATTTATATACCCACCATGGGTACAACTGCGGCACACTGAGGTACACTGAGAAAAAAGTTGGCGCAAAACAAGTGTGTAGAGTGACCACCCCTTGTGTGAACCCTATTAGTAGATTTGAATTTTTGCTGAATTAATAATTAGCCACTGCAGGCGAAATGTAGCTTACAAAATTATACTAGTAGGTACTCATTCTCTTTACTCTTCCGGTATTGACCGATATCGATCGTAGGTAGGAAATGATAACTCAGCCGAATGATAACGATTACACGGTAGAAGATCGTCTGAAACTTGATGTAATTATCAGTCTAATAAATCCCAGTATTGTAACCACACGTGCACTCTAGGAGACCCTTGTTCAATTTTCTTTGTCGTTAAGGTGCACTTGCACTAACAATAAACGGAAGTGAAGTTACAGTGTTTCAAATATCACCGTTTTTACCCGAATTCGCCAACAAGGGACAAAACTATCCGTCTGTCTGCCACTAAGGAATATGAACACAGTAAGTTCCTGTAAACTGTTCCTGACATGTAGGAGCAGGTACTCCGCTGCTTACTGGTTGATGTGTTGATTAGGTAGTAATTTGAAACGCCATTTGTGTCCGTTTCCTTGTTTTCGCTGTCGAGTAAAGTTGAATTCTGTTGTTTGTTGATCTCGAGGCTCTCTGCAACATCCAATTTCCATGGTGTAAATACGGTTCGTAAAATCGTGATGTCCTTCGTTGATAGTTGGTGGTCTCTGTGAAGATGTGCTCTGCAACCTTTGATTTGAAATCATACTTTAGGCGTTTTTCCTCTTGCTTTTTGGCCTTATTAACCTCCGCTATATGTTCTTTAAATCTAGTTGCTAAAGTTCTCTTGGTTTGTTCTACATATAGGGGAAATGGATTTAATGTCGGCCTAAATGCCCCTAATTTGGGCCCATACATAAATTCAGCAATCGAATATATTTTCAATAGCGACCAAAAATATCCATTAGTACCGTCCCAATGATGCGTTCATCTAGATAAAATTGATAAATAGTAGATTTTTAGAGATGGGCCCAATCTTAGATTCATAGGCCAACAATAGAGCCGTTTAACCTACTTTGTTACAATGATTACAGATAATTTTATATACACCTGCTTTAACGAAAACATTAATTGGGTCTTTAATGTATCCTAACAATGATTGTAATTGGCTATATTTACTAGTGAAAACTAAATCTAATCCAATTTTTTGTCTTAGTTTACAAGTCAAATGGAACGGACACTCGTTTCAAGGATTCAGATGCTGCGGTGAGGGTAGCAAATAATCTCCTATGTTGAATTTTCGTTTTTTACCGATGATTGCCTGGATTGTTGTCTCCTTGTATCCGTTGAGTCTCGCTAGTTTCGAAGATGTCCTGTAATTCCTTAACCTTTCCTGTTTCGCTGAGTGGAAGAGTCTACATCGAATGAATCATGTGATGCAAGGCGGCCATTTTTTGCTGGAACGAATCGTTGGAAGTATAAAAATGCGAGTTTCCGGTCTTTTTCTACCTCATGAGTGAATTTTATATCCTTGAGAATTCTGTTGATCTCATCCAAAATTTGTGGAAGGGCTTCCGGTGTGTGACTACGCTAAAGATATCATCGACAAAGCTCCACCAACGGTTTGGTAATAGCCATTTCTCTTTCAGGATTGTTTCCAAGCTAGCCATGAAAAGTTCACACAGGAAGGGGGATAGGGGATTTCCCATTGGGGCTCCCTTTGTCTGCTTGTAGAAGTTACCTCGGAAAGAGAAGTAGTTCTCTTAAATACAAAGCTGGATCAGCTTAAGGTATGTCCGAACCTTGTTTCTCCATGCTGCTGCCTCTCGTTGTGTTAATAGCCAGTTCTCCAAATGATTGAACTCTTCCTTGACCGGTACGCTGGGAAAAAGAGCTGTGACGTCGAAAGATGCCATAGTCTTGTCCTCGTTGATGTATCCTGAAGATTGTTATTGCTAAGCGAACTCCTGGGTGTTACTAACTGCCTTACTCTGGAACTGATCTGGCATACTCTAGAACGCTGTGACTAGCCACTTCGAAAGTTTGTGGGTAGGGGAACCAACTGCAGACACGATCTCACGCATTTCATTCCCCGGTTTGTGGACTTTTGGGAGAACTTTGATCCTGGGTAGAATGGGATTGGATTCCTGTAAGCGACCTGCTCCATCTCCTAATATTGATTTAGTTTCTTTCAGTACTTTAACTATTTGAAGTCAACGATTTACAAAGTTGAAGATGCTAATTTCAAATAACAGACTAAAGTGGTGGTTTTTATACGATAGATTAGGAGATGAAAGTATAGAGTTGATAGTTCCGTAGAGTACGGCAGTGTGAAAATTGTATATAGAGAGTAGAAAGCGAGCAAGGACAACTTTTATGAAGGTACAAATCGGTTTGATCATCTCTATTTATCAAACTCTCCCGTTGGAGAGGGATGGTGAGGGGTACACTTCCAACCACCTACCATTCCATTTCAAAGTCTTCATGTCTAATTTGATATAAAGTCGTCTGATGCTATCCTTGATGAACTCTACTTCCACCCTTTTTACTACGCTGGATGGGGTGGGTGTCCGTACCTTAATCCTATATATTTTTGGCATTTCTTCAGGAACAGTTTTCTTTTCATTTATTGATTAAAATTTTATGGTTCTTGATTTCAGCGTGTACTTTTTTACAGGAATGGCAATCCAGTTTCCTATAAAACCTTACAGTGAAAGTATAGACGACTGAAACCAGAAAGCTGAAAAAAGTTCCTGATGAATGTGGGCGTCTTAGTGGAATATCTGATAATTAGAAAGAAAGAGAGAAGGATTAGTAATTTCCATTTAATTCCACTGCCCTATTTGCTTATCCTTGACAGATCCGCGTATTTCGTCTACAATGTGCAGACTTATTCAGTGACTTGTACTAATACTCGACTAGGACTGTCAAGGATAAGTAAATAGGGCAGTGGAATTAAATGGAAATTACTAATCTTTCTTTATATGAAAAAGTAAGAGGTTGTATCCAAGACACTACCGTAGATTTGACGTAGGATTACGTGCTCGGTTTCAATATTTAGCGACTGTGTTAGGGAAATCACTTTTCCCATCACGGAAACGCCTTGATTTCTAATGACAAAATTATGCATTCCGTGCACAAAACCCACGGAATTTTTGGTTTATTCAATAAATAATAAAAAAGCGAACATTCATGGAAGGAATTTCTTGCAAAAATTTTCCAATCGCGAAATATTCGCAATCAATCATATAAATTCTAAATTTTTTCCTTTTTTTAAGCGTCGTGGACATTGTGAAAATTTTCATGTACCACTTCAAAACTGTTACGTTTATTACCACAAACGTTTGGTTTCTGGATACATTATCGAACAGCTTTGAGGCTGGCAGTAAGACGAGCGAAAGTTCAATTAAAATTAACTCTTAAAAAACAATAATTTATAGTGATGTAATGCTGAGCTATTAGGGTGTTCAACACGGATGGGGCTGGCAAGCTGTACGTTGTTTGGAACGAGGGTAACGCGCTTGGCATAGATGACCCACAGCGGCTCACGACGAGCAACTGAATCCGATCAGCAGCGTTGCGGTTTCTTCTTCGTTCTTCGGTGAATCGAGCGCTCTTGTGGACAGCCTTTCGTTGTGTACTGGAGAATGTACAACGCCATACGTGGAAAGCACTGCTGCCACAAAACACCACTACCCACGGTGATTGAATAAGCACCGTTCGGCGAGACCGGATGGAATACAATTTTGAAATCTTTGTTAGGGAAAGTGCTTTTAGCAGGCAATCGGTGATAATTTTGATCACCATTGCAACAGTTGGACATTTGTTTAATTTTCATTAGTGACGTATTGAAAATCGATAAAGTGTTGATTTTATCAGATTCATAGAAAAAACTAGAATTAAAATCTATCCGCTATTGACAGAGTTATAAGTGGTCAAAGCCTGACCACTTTCCGTAACGCGACGAATTTGGTTTTTTTGTAATTACACCCCCAATACGTTGCCAAAAGACGTAATCCTACGTCAAAAACAATGTTCCAACAGTGTGTTATGACAGTTCGATTGTAACAGCTTTTGGTAGACGTCTAAACTTTTACTGTAGGTTCTCAAGTATCCTACAACTTTCTATCCGGCGTCATTTCGATTAGATGAGCCGTTTTCGTACTATGATTTATTGAAAGATGTCGAATACGGTATTATGACAAATTAGGCGAAAAAATTGCCGAATGCCATCATAAACTTGATTAATTTCCCCTAGCGAACAATGATGTGAAATTTCTTTGAATTCTGAGAGGTGAAGTCCAAAATGTGTGTAGTTTGCCCTGGAATTGTTCTACGATCGAACTTAATGCCCATAACATCTGAATTTAATGAGGTTTTTTTTTTATTTGTAATACAATATTAAGAATAGAATCGCCCCAAATCAATTAATCCCACAGGTAATAAGACTGCCTTTGGGTTAAAGTTTCCTAAAATTCCACAGCCTCTCATAAACCTCATAAATTGATTGGCTATGGACGTTGCTTTTGCTAGATGCCTAATAGATGAAGAAATGCCAAATCAAAAATAAAAACAGCCACTCAATCGTGTGATGCGAGATAAGCTGCCGTTAAAGGGCGTTAACCATGCAATCATCCATGTCAAATGCACAAAGCGGCATCCAACGGACGGCGGCGGCGAGCGGTGCCCTTCCCGCCCCCTTCAAGAGTGAGTGACAAAATAAGTTTTATCTACAACCACTTGCTCCACTCGCAAATCTCTAGCTCTAGTGTGGCGGTGCCCATTGTTGCAATGTATAAATACAATGCCACATTGCTCCGGATAGATCATAAACAGTTTGGTTTTTGTGTCCGCACCAAGTAGTGGCTTTGTTACCAGCAAGTTTTGCCTGGATCTTGTATCCGAAGCATATCGGACTCCCATTCTTCTTCTAAGTTTATAGGGTGCAACGTGATTGCGAAATTCGGATAAGAGGATCCAGGAAAGAGCGAGTTCCGACGAGTTCGAGTGGTGCAGGGCGGCGAGGATAATTAGTGAGCTTACTAGATAGGAGAAAAGTGTAAGTGTTTTTAATTGTCTTCTGTGGGAGAGATGTAAAGTGCAAGTTGAGCATAGAAACCAAGAAAACTTTTGTGGAACTGTTTTTCTAGGTGGGGCTGTTGTCCGGAAGAAAGTGGTTCTTTGAACAATTGTGCGGTTGTCCTGAGCGTGAAATAATTTAAATCAACCACTACAAATTGAAAGTTTTTCCATACGATAGAACGGGGTTGCATTAGATTGGGTAAATTATCCCCGTTATTCTGCGCCGCGAGTGAGATGGGGGTGACTAGCTGTCACTCGAAAGGTGACAAAAGTCACCGCTAGTGAGGTGACTCTCCTTGCAAATCAAATGGAAAGTCACCTCACTAGTGACAGCGAGTCAACTCACCTCACTCGCGCTGCAGAATAGCCTCTGTGATAGGGCTATTAAAAACAAAATGGACAAGCAAATCTGCATAGTGTGAAACATGTTGATTTTCAGATACAAACCTTTAAGCATTTGATAGAAGTTTAAAATTGAATCAAAACATTTATTAATTTCCACATAAACAAATATCAAAGAACTAAGCTCTGGCCCTTCACCAGCCGCTGGAGAAAACTGGTAATGATCCTCAAACGAAAATGTTAACGTTACTAGTTCGCGCAGTTTTTACCCAACTGGGAGTTCACATTTAGATTGAATGATCAGGATGCAATTTTGAATGATAATTCAAAAATCATAATGATCCGTTCCATCTACAGGGTGTCGAAAATCAAGGAATATCAGGGAATTTATTTTTGGGCCTGGAAAAGCAGGGAATTTTCAGGTAATTAATTCAAATACAGGAAAAGTTTTCTTTATCAGACAGTGTTTATTAAAAGTATGACTGACCTCGCTAGTTTCATACAATTTAATATAAGTAAAGTGAGGCAAGAGTACGCACTTCGTTTTAAAATTCATGTATCTTTTTCACCATAACATCAAATTTTGTTTTATAACCGTGAGTCGCTTCCTGGACTATTTTGTCACTTTACTCTACCCGGTGTAGATTGAGAATGGTAATGAATTTCAAATGTAAAATTTGAAAAAGAGTTATGAACTTGTGGTTGCACTGGCAGGGCTGTTACAAAAGGCGCGGATTTTGCGAATTTCGTGGATTTTGTGATTGTTACGGATTTGAACTTTCAATCGTGAAAATCACGAAGGGACTAATGTGCTATCTTATAAATTGCGGAATTCATATTAACCTTTGCGTCCAGGATTATTAGGCTGTCATAAATGTTGGTGTTCATTTGGCTTTAGTTTTCAAGATTTTTTATCGATTCAAATAAAACATCCTGCAAATCATCGATAATCAGAGTTTCAGATAATATTTGTTGGTCACGTCAGATTAACGGTTCCGAATTCACTTGGGGTCTGTCAGATAGTATTGTGAAGAATTTTCATATATTTTTTGTTAATTTCTAAAATAGCATTTTTTTTTTGTTTTTAATTCATAAATGAATCATATATAAGCGACTAATTGCCATGTATACCGGATATTCAAGGCTCTCCAAATCGTCCTGGAGTTCAGTTTATTTGTTTTACTACATCAACCAACACTGTAATAATGTCTGTAGTATCAAAATATGTTTAAGCAGATTCATAGTATATATGAGGATCACTTCTCACCTATTGCTATGTATTCAAGACGTAATAGGTTCTGAAATCATTCTGGAGATCAGAATATTTGTTCTACTGGATCACCCAAGACTAATTCAATATCTGTAGTATCGAAATATATTCAAAATGATTTGTAGTGTCTATGTGGATCATGTCGACTTGGAGAGACAAGAGCTAACATTCTAATCTTCTCGCTCTGTTCGTTCAAGAAAGAGCACTACATGCAGTATATTATTCACTACACCCTTACTATGTGTAAGATTAGATCACTCTACACTGATGGGAGGTAGTGAGCGACATAAGAGCTCAAGAATACTCTGCAGTGAACTCACAGAAACTCACTCCAGAGAACACTGGAGTGGGAGAACTGATTGGTTCTCCGGAGCAAGTGCAATTGTGAATGGTTTGACGCTCCGTTTGAATTTTCCATTCGATATTGGCGTTGACGACTGTATTTGAGCCGGGAGACTATCTTTACTCCAACGGTGTTTGTTATTTACAGCCTTAAAACCAATGATGGAAAAGTTCATCAAAGTTCCCTATGACTCGCGTACTTTTCCCTTGGTGAAATATCGCGAACTTTTCCAACACTGCTTAAAACCATCCCAACTTTAATCATGTACAAAAATCAGGATACATGTCATCGTTGATTGAAACCAACATGGAACATCTAAGCAACCTGTTAATTTTACCATTGATTTAGCATAGGACTCTAAGGCCGCTGCCGTATAGTGGGAGCGGAGAGGCGCGATTAGCGTTCTATACAAAAGAATTCGTATTATTGATATTATTCCTTATAATGATCGATTTCACGCTTCGCGTGCCTCTTTGGTCTCAATATGGCAGCGGCCTAAACAAAATACCTAAAATCCCATAGAACCAAAACGTCAAAATCGAACACATCAGGCATAACATTTGATAACGGCACAAAAGTATTTGTAAACAAACTTTCTAAGGCCCTTTACACGCGAACCAAAGTACGCCCACGCAAACCAATACCACTTTCGGAAAAGTGATATGTAGTTGCCCCTATCCGATTATGCTGTTGGTTTGCGTGGGCATACTTTGGTTCGCGTGTAAAGGGCCTTAGAAAGTTTGTTTACAAATGCTTTTGTGCCGTTATCAAATGTTATGCCTGACATGTTAGATTCAATCTGTGTGGCTGTGTGAATTTTAACTTAAATTTGACAGATAGGAAATTTTCAAATAAACCTGCTATTGTACCAGACTTATTTCTGGCTAACCAGGAATCAAACTTGACAAACACAAACAGAGAGCTTTTCGAACATCATAATTTATTTTCGAAATGTCAAATTTTAGTAAAATAAATTATAATGTTCGAAAATCTCTCTGTTGTTGTCCGATTTTTGAGAAATTGTTTGTCAAAATTGATTCCTGGTTGGTCTAAAAATTTTCTATCTGTCAAATATAAGTTAAAATTTACCAAATGAACCGCAGCCAAAATGTAGGAGGTTTGACAGCTGTAGTAAAAACCTAGTCCACCCATCGAATGGCATTTACTAGATAAGATGAGATTGCGACATAATTAAACAAATAAGCTCTACAAACAACGCTTTTTGAAAACAATTTTATGAATATGTTACTGGAAAAAAGCAAGGTTTCAAAAGGAGGACATTTTCGGGCAAAAAGAGGATGTAGAAATATTATTTAAAAAAGAGGACATGTCCTCCTTTAGGATACCATATGGTAACCCTAAACACGACGCGAAACACTAATATGTAGTGACTTATTTGACTTAAAATGATCTTTATTTCTTTTATTTTCTTGTATCTTGTAAACCTCCATGTATGACTTATCAAGTGACACAGATGCGTCTTCTCAACTTTAGTTCTTATGAAATTTCAATTATTATTAATAACAGTTCCTAGTCCTATCAGGCCTGTTTAGAGAATGACCACCTTGGTGGGATTGGTTTGTGTAGAAGGTCCATTTTATGCGTAATATGCTTGCAGCAAAATAATGCTTCAACAGCGCTCAAACCTATGCTCTAGAGAGTGGGCTCTGCAGTGAAGTCTTTCGAGAGGTAAACCCCAGAGAGATTTAAGCTGGATTTAGACTAGGCAGGTCAAATGATCAACTCATTTGACTTCAAATGGCTTGAAAAGTTGAGCCTGGTTCAACTTTTTTTCAATTCAAGTGAGTTGATCAAGTCAGTTGTTTGTTACACGTTCAATTCGCGTTCAAGTCAGTTGAATTCAACTGACTTGATCAATTGACTTGCCCTGTCTAAACCCAGCTTTAAGGTGAGTGAACTCGAGAGCACATTAAATTCATTTCTCTAGAGAGAGTGAATTAAGTTTTCACCATAGAAATTTTCAATAAGCACTCTCTCACACTTGGCTTGTCGTGATCTCACCGTAAACGTGGTGATTTGCTCGCTTGAGTTGCAAAGCATACATCCTCAGAGGAGGCAAAATTTACGTACGCTATAGCCGCATTTCGAAGAAATGACATCACTGATGCCAAGATATTTCCGTGTATGCCAGATGTTCTAGGATTTCTATATTTCGATACATCAGATAAAATCCCAACGTTTGCTGATTTAGTAGAATAAATCATCTAAACTACAGGACCATTTGGAGAACCTAGAACATGTGGTATACATGGAAATGAAACTCTTTGGACATATTTCGATGTCCAATGGAATGTTATTGAAATTCATGATTTCATAATGCAGCGGAATCATAACCGCTTCAAGCTTTACCAAGAGCACCGTGTTCACCGCACTACATAGTTATTTCTTATACGCCTTGTGCCAAGTACACAAGTACTGATAGTCTAGTGGTCAAAGTATGGGTTTAATGCTCGTAAGGTTCTTGGTTCAAGTCCAGTGCCTAATTTTATTTATTTTTTATATGTTTGGGTTTAAAAACTAAAATTTACTGAACACTGAATTTAGTTCATAATTTTAATTCGGATGATTAATGTCTTGTTTATTAATTTATTTGATAAGGCTCAAACGAATTAACTTTACAGAGCCGAGGCTTCTTGAAAACTATACAATACATCTTAAAATTATAGTCAAAAGGTACAACACAATAAACACTCTATCTTCCGCTATCCAAAAAGCCTCCTCCATCAGAACTGGAGCCGCTTCCAGTAGTTTCATTGTATGACGGTTACGCCAACGAGGGTCAGAGTGCGTCCATTGCAGCAATGGACGCAAAACGTGGTCAGCACTCACACACTCATCACGAAACGGTTGCTTTCCAAAGTCGACGACGCATCGACCGAAAGAACGGCTGATGAAGAACAATGAGGAGGACCACACAATGGTTGCTGTCAAGAAAACAGACGATCGCGTGGCACACATCGAGAGTGGCCTGCTTTTGTCGACAGCCGGGTGAACACTGTCGGATGATTAATGATTTCGGAATCTTGGGTGCGTTACGCAAACATAGCTCATGATATCATATCATGAAAATACGGTATGTTCATGAAATCATGAGTCATTTTTCTCATTTCGGATTAGTGATTTGTTCCCGTGCAGCATGATTTGGAGAACGCAGAGCATTTGGTATACATGGCAATAGGTCGTGCATGATCCACATAGTCAATGTGAATCTGTTTGGAAGTATTTCGTTACTACAGACATTATTCTAGTCTTGGTTGATCAAGCAGATCAAATTTACTGAACTCCAGGACGATTTGGAAAACGTAGAACAACTGGAATACTTGGAAATAGGTCGTGCATGATCTATATAATCGCTTTGAATCTGTTTGGACATATGTCGATACTACAGACATTGTTCCAGTCTTGGTAGATCTAGTAGAACAAATCAACTGATATCCTGGATGATTTGAGAACTTAGAATTTCCAGTATGCATGGGAATGAGTCGTGCATGATCCACAGTCTCAAATATACGATTCGTTTATGATTTGACAATGAACAATACTATGTTCATATTGAACATATAAAAAAATCATGAAAATGTCTCACATGACCATTGGACAGACCCCAGCAAACGTCTCTCGATGGACGCTGAATTTAGTTGTATCCAACAAGCGTCAAACCTTTGTCGTGTTGGAGAGCCTTTAAGCAAATACAAGAATGGTAAAAGCACAGACACACAGACATAACACTCACAATTCCATTCTTCGCAAATAAGATTTTAGTTGGAAATGTGCTAGCATTTGTCAGGGTGGTGCCACTGGAGCGTTAAGCAAGCCACCCCGTTCGAAATTATCAGTGATGCCAGTTATTTTGCAGGTTCTTTTAGTAGATGGCAGCTTTTTAAAATGATAAGGGGACCAAGGAATCTCACTGGAGACACAAAATGTTGTTGAATATTACATCCAATCAGCTGCTCATTGGTCATTCATAAATACACAGAGCTTGAGAACAAATAATTTTGATGAGTGTATTATTGTTTCCACTTTAACCAGTTGATTGATCTTCAATATATCATCATTAATAACATTAATTGAAACATACCATATTTGTTTGCTGTGCGGTTGGAACAGAGTAATTCAAACCGGTGGAAACTAACGATTTTAAATTGGCTTACTACTTGACTAGCCTATTGGTCCCAAGCAAATCTAGTACTACACAATGTTTGTTTTGAATTGCTTTGAAAGTTTGACAGATAAAATGTGGGGTTCGTTGATTTTCCTATGTTTCGAGGGGTGCATCGATTAGCTTTGGACCGAAGATAGTACCAGAGCTGAGCCAAAAAGTTGAGCACGTTTCTTCGGGACGTACTAGTCTTAGAGTTACCTCTGTGGTAATTCGTAGATTACATACTTGCAACTGTCATGTTCAGAACAGGAAAGCATGACAATTACTATTGTCGGCCACGTCCATCTTCTCTGTTACTGAGAAAGGAAGGATGTTGCTGATGTAACATCTACTTAACGGTAGGCCAGTAACTCACCCACTCCTCCATAGATGCTACGCAGCAGGATAGTTGGGTCGGAGAAGGGTCAGGATTCGGTTAAGCAGGCCATGCGACCATTGTAATTGTTTTGTTTTGTAGGAGCTTATGAGTAAACCCACGATCTTCTACCTTCTAACTCTAAGACCAAAAGGTCCCGAAGAAACGTGCTCAACTTTTTGGCTCAGCTCTGGTACTCTCTTCGGTCCCAAGCTAATCGATGCACCCCTCGAGACATTGGAAAATCACCGAACCCCTCATTTTATCTGTCAAACTTTCATAGTGAATCAAAACAAACATAGTGTAGTACTAGAATTTCGACTAGAATGGGGTACGTTAATCGATTTGCTTGGGACCAATAGACTAGTCAAGTAGTGAGCCAATTTAAAAAAGTAAGTTTCCACCGGTTGCTTCTACTCATTAAGCAAAAGTGGCAGCCGTCAAGCTAGCCGAGCTCCTCACTTTAAATTCCAATCCTGTTTAAAATAAAATTAAACATACAAAAAGGAAGTGTCTCATCCGAACGATCCAATTTACTCCAGCCATGTGTGATAAAAACACTTGGAAGGGTATGCAATTTGGGGGACCACTTGGCCAGTTCTGAGGACTACTCCAACTACAGTTGATAGTCGTGAATATTAATTCGCACTCACGATGGTTTATATCCTTCTGCAGTTGAACAACAACTGTTTCAAGAAGCTCCAGTATTAAAAACAAAGTAATGCAACCGGGAGAACAAAAACGTCCACCCGTGAGATCATTCTATATTTGTTTGCTGTGTACACATTTAAGTGATAAGCGGTGGTAGAAAGGGCACACATAAGTGATGCATTACTACGTTTAGAAACTTGTTTCCAGCAAAATAAAAAAACACTACACTAACGAAACAAATCCCTAGACTGTGCTTCTGTAAATTCAAAGGATCCGTATTTCTGCAAAACTCAATCAATTCTATACACCTGTGGAAAATTTCGTAGAACCGGCAACACTGACTTGCATTTGTTTTGTTTTTATTCAACACAGCTGACACCGGGACGGGACTTGCCAATCCAGCTTCTCACTCTTCTTAATGTTTTTGATGCATGCCCGTCGAAAATAAGTGCATGGTGTTTGACGGAGTTGACCAATGATGCCAGGATTGCAGAATGATTTTTCTATTTTAATTTTAATTGTCTGACCAGATCGACTTATTCCAGTCATCACTGGTCTATGAAATGTGGTCCTGGGCCCGCTTCAATCTTTTGTTGATATTTTTTGCGGACAACCATGGCTTCTTAAGAGCTACTCTGCCATTAAGACCTTTCTTATGAAGACGATTTCGTACGGATTGTGATGTCAGTTGAATGGAAAACCCGCTTTCAATCTGTTTCGCAAATTTTCGGAGCTGATAGTCCCTGGTCCAGCTCCACCTTCTTCACGATAGCTCTGTCAATTCGGCCAGTTGTCTTTGAAGGACGCCCCAATCACTTAGCTGGTGAGATAGAACCATAGAGGTAACTCTAAGACCAGAAGGTCCCGAAGAAACGTGCTCAACTTTTTGGCTCAGCTCTAGTACTCTCTTCGGTCCCAAGCTAATCGATTCACCCCTCGAGACATTGAAAAATCACCGAACCCCTCATTTTATCTGTCAAACTTTCATAGTGAATCAAAACAAACATAGTGTAGTACTAGAATTTCGACTAGAATGGGATACGTTAATCGTTTGCTTGGGACCAATAGGCTAGTCAAGTAGTGAGCCAATTTAAAATCGTTAGTTTCGTATTGATTGTTGATATCACGGTAGCTTTTGCCAGTTTTGTGATTTTCAATAATCAAATTTCGGATACTGATCGAAACTTGTGCTTTTTTGGGCATTTTGCAACAAATAACTTCCAATTTTGAACACGAAACTGAAATTTTGAGCACAAAAACTTCAAAAGCCCTAAATGACAGCTAGACACAATGTTTACATTCGAGAAAGTTGCAGAATACACACTAAAACTCTGTAAAACACACTTAAATTTTAGTATGCGTGCTCTCAACTTAGTATTCTAAATTCACTCCCACAGTAATTGAGAGCTTTCGATGCCTGTACAATTTTTGCATTAGTATAATTGTGTGGCACCTACAATCAATCTCTATTCCCAGGGAGGTCGAAAATTTTTCCAACCCGAAAAAATCCTGCATCGGGACCGGGAATCAAACTCAGCCACCTCCGGCATGGTCTTGCTTAGTAGCTGCGCCTTTACCGAGTGGGCTAAGGGAGGGAATAAACCCAGAAGTCGTTCCGACTACCACGGTAGCTTATTTCGACTTCCGCTGGTTCATCTAACTTCTTCAACGGATTTCTTGAAACTTACATTGGAAGTTTCTATTCAATCGTTTAAAACTGTCCTAGAAGTTTTTACGTTATCCCCGGAAGTTCTTTCCGACTTTCTTGATAAGTCCCTTTAACTTCCCATGGAATTGTCTTCTGATTTTCCCGGAAGTTTTTCCATACCTCTCCTGGATATTTATTCTGACTTCTCCAGGAGCATTCTTCTAATTTCTCTTAGAAGATCTTCAAACTTTCTTTAGAAGTTTTGTAAGACCATTTCAACGACTCAAATTTGGGTAAAATCCACCCAGATCGGTCAAAACTGAACCTACCCAAAAATGGGTAAACTTTGTTGGGAGTCACAAGTAGAGAAATGAACAACGTCGATGTGAATTCTACCCAAATTTGGGTTGTTTTCAAACAGCGTGTATGTAGTCGCAAAAGTTACAGTAACATTACCAGTATTATCTCGAGATCCAAATTAATGAATTATATTCTTATTTCCAGCATGAAACACTTCTGGCTGTTGGGCCTGGTGGCCCTCGTTCTGCTGGTGTCATTCGCATCAGCACACAAGAAGGAGGAAGGATTCGAAGAGAGCGGTGGAAGTGAACAAGGGGAAGAACATCACGGAAAGAAAGGCGAAAAGGAAGACAAAGGATACAAATCGAAACACGGCGTGGAGAAGAAGGAAAAGGGTGATCACGGCAAGGAGGAACACGAATCGCACTACGGTGAAGAGGGTGGTCACAAGAAGGAAAGTCACGACGAAGGCGATGAGTACAAAAAGCACCACGAGGAGAAGAAGGGATCCAAGCATGGAAAGCACGGCCACAAGAAGGGTCACAAAAAGGGTTCGAAAACTACCGGTTATCACAAGAAGTCACACAAAGATGATTACCACAAGGAACACAAATTCTACGACGATCACCACAAGGAAGGTAAGCACAAGAAGTTTGGAGACTTTAACGAACATCACTCGAAGAAAGCCGAAGATCACAAAAAGGGAGAAGATCATGATTCGGCGCACAAGGAAGATCACTATTCCAAGAAGGGTCACACGGATAAGGGCCACCACGATGAGGACCACAAGGGCTGGAAGAAGAAGCACGGCCATGAATCCCACTACTCCCACAAGGACGATTATGGAAAGAAGGGTGGCAAAAGTGGTGGCAGTGAGAATGGATTCAAGAAGGGTGGTCACCATTGATGGGAGAGCGGTGATCGGTATGCTTTGGCTGTTAGATAAATTGTATCGAATGAAAATGTATAGTTTATAACGTAGTCTGATTGTCAATTGCTTATTTTGTATACGGTTTTAAATTACAATCGTAATATATTCTTGTTTTAAAATTTTAGCATTCTTGTGTTTAATTTAACAGCGATAATTTTGCTAGTGTAACTCTCTTGTTTCATTAGCCTCAGTCGGAGCCATGATTGGTTGATAATGACTGTAAAGCAACAAGCGATTAACCTTGCATCCGAAAATACTCTGGATGATAACGGATCATCAAAACCATCCACCATTAATTTACGGTTTGAATTATTGAGGCATCAAAAAATGACGTTGTTGCTGATCAAGGTTACCACTCATCGCATAATGCCCAGAACAGCTGATAACCAGACCACCAAAGACAATGTATCAACATATAAAATGGTCCTTTACTCGATCGGATGACATTTTGAAATCCCTCGCTACACGTGCCACTGTGGCTTTCATTAGCTTGGCTCTGGTCGCTGCGCAAGCAAACATGTAAGGTACACCGGGGCAAGTAGAACCTTAAAATTAGATAACCAAGCATTATGTGCTTGTTCAATTTACAATAAACGATTCTCTGGGGTAAGTGGAAACAATTTTGGATTTTAAATAAAAGTATTGAAAAATAGAAATTTATCGCAGGAGATCAACAGTATGCATAATGCATCATATGTATAAGTGCATGAAGTACTTATGTTTAGAAATGGATCATCCAAAAATACCATAACTCCTCGTAAAGATCGTGATTTGCATACGAATAGGATAGAATAAATTATTTAAACACAGTCTAAGGTAGCACAAACCAGCGGAAACGATTTTAAATTGGCTCACTACTGGACTAGCCTATTGGTCCCAAGCAAATCGATTAGTGTATTCCATTCTAGTCGAAATTCTAGTACTACATTATGTTTGTTTTGATGAAAGTTTGACAGATAAAATGAAGGGTTCGTGGATTTTCCATTGTTTCGAGGGGTGCATCGATTAGCGTGGGACCGAAGAGAGTACCAAACGCTGAGCCAAAAAGTTGAGCACGTTTCTTCGGTCCCAAGCTAATCGATGCACCCCTCGAAACATAGGAAAATCCTCGAACCCCTCATTTTATCTGTCAAACTTTCATAGTGAATCAAACAAACATAGTGTAGTACTAGAATTTCGACTAGAATAGGGTTCGTTAATCGATTTACTTAGGACCAATGGGCTAGTCAAGCAGTGAGCCAATTTAAAATCGTTAGTTTCGTATTGATTGTTGGTTGTACTTACATTACATATGCATATAAGTTAATATGTGTTTCATTCGTTTATACATTTTCGTAGTCCACTTGATGATAAAACGAAGATTTATTGTCTTGATCTCCTGATGTCAGCAAAACAGGCCTATCTTAAGTAAATGTTTACAAAATGCTTCATAAAGACGAGCGCGTATTACTTTACTCACTAGTTCAAAGTTTCAGGCTATTAAAACGTGTTTCCTTATGACGGGGATGAGCACAATAATAATTTTCTTGTATACAATGTAAGCGGTAGCAATGTATCCTACAACTTCAGGTGGAATTGCCCCTAGAGTTTCCTGTTAAAAAGAGTTATATCCACCGTTCTCACCTACCACGTACCCTCACTTACCCCGGTGCGCCTTAAATCTTTCAGCGAGGAGTTTTTGTTTTGGCAACACATGGTCTATCAACGAATGATTTCTATGCATGCTATAAAATCCATACTGACCTTACCATTCCGGATGAGGACTGGTTGCTTTATTTTTTTTGTCTTGATGTATCATCGTCGCCCACTGGTCACCATAGCCGGTCGAACTCCAGACGAGTCTGGAACTGCACTACCGTTCATACTGGCGGCAACGGTCTGATGAGACATCGAAACCCCACCCCAAGCTCCTCACCTGATCCTATCCTTCGAAAATGTACCCTTCTAACCTCGGGTAAGTCGCGAGTATGCGGTCCAACTCCTACTAGACATAGAAATAAGCGAATTTTTTGCCAAAAACAATGACCAATGAATTATCGGCTCCGTAGAGCTAACGCGATTGAGCATTCCAAATAAATGAACTACAAACTTAATTTTTCTACCGAGCTCGGCTGTGCAAATCTTGGCAAAAATGAGTTTCCCTGTGATCTCAGCAAAAGTGACATTTGATTGCTGAGTCTCGGATGATGCTTAGCTGAATCTCAGCAAACAACTGAAATGTTCCAGTCATTTTCGAGAGTTATTTTTACCGGGTTGTCATCCGATTTTTTTACGGCGTTCCCAGCTCACCGTAGCCGCTCAATTCTGTAGATTGAACGATGATGCTTTCCACATTCATCGTAGATACAACAATAGTCAGTATTGAACGTTTGTACTCTGTTATTGGACTTGCTACAGAATTCTCATATTGTTTGTTAACTCTTTATTTGTTCCAAATTCAAATTAAACACATTTCATTTCAAACTACGTACTCCAGCAGTAATAAAGCGAATAAAGTAATGTGTTTGCAGCTCAGTTTGCAGTTTAATTATTAACGAAAGAGAAAGTCGATGAAGAGAATCGATCAAAGTTACTTACACCCCTTTCCTTCCATGCTTCTCAATTGTGTGTGTGTGTGTGTGTGTGTGTGTGTCATCCTCTATCCCTCACCCAGCCGGGGGCGTTGGACAAGTAGAACTGCGAATAATTTGATCAAATCTCATGCTCCGTAATGGTGCCCTTTATGTTGTGAAGACTAGTACTTCAAAAAGGGTAACTTTTGAGGCAAGACAGGGTGTCCTCAACAAGTTAAGGGAACAGGATGCACTAAATGTCCACAACAGGTACAGCAAAACATCACATAGACGCCCTTATTCACACTAACTACTCAGGGGGTAGAAGGTCAAGAAGCGCCACCGCCGCCAACTAAAGCTTGAACCGGGTACCTGGGACTCCCACGATATACCCGCGGCAATGGTCAGCAGACGATGCCCTGTGCGTATTTAGTATGTAAGGGGCTGTTCATAAACTACGTAGACAGTTTAGGGGGGGGGGTTGACAATTTTCCACGGCCCATACAAATTTTAAAAATTTTGTATGGACAATTGTCTACGCAGGGGGAGGGGGGGGTCAAGAATCCCAAAAAAAAACTGTCTACGTAGTTTATGAACAGCCCCTAATATGTTTTATTTGGATACACAAAATGTTTAAGCCATGCGTCATCTAAACCATAATTTGCATCACCACAAATACACTTGTCAACTATCTTCAACTGGAACGTACTCACCAAATCACTTCACCCGGGAGCGCATTCCCGATGCTTCCACGCATATTTTTTTTTTCCAACCACACAACAACCAAATATCACTTTTCTTTTTCAAGTCACTCCGTGCACAAAAGCAATGCACATCGCAAAACCCTGACAATAGATCAGCGCACTTCTCATCACCGCGTAAATAAACAGAAATTCTCCTTCCATGCTTCTCAATTGTCATCTTAAACTAAAAACTTAAATTTAGAATTGCAATGATGTACCAGGGAGGCAACTTCAAAATCATCTTCAGAACTTTGTTCTGAATCCTTTGAAGTGCAACAACTAGACCATATTGGCACAGCGTAAAGCATGGCCAGACTAATAATTTGTTTAAATATTAGAAGTTAATTCTTCAGGCAAAGTTTGGATTCCCTGTTTATAAGAGGATACAAATATGTTATATACCTCTCACCCCAGCAGGCCTGGGTTCAATCCCAGTCGGCGCCGCCGGGATGTTCTGAGGCATAACATCTCTGATCACGCCTTCCTTCGGATGGGAAGTAAAGCTGTTGGTCCCCGGTTCATGAGTTTGATGGGTCGATAGGTAGGGTCCAGGTGTGGGAGCTGCCTTCCTGGCACGTCAGTAGCATTGGTGCTCAGCACGGAAAACAAGATCGACGGAAAAAACAAACCAAAGGAAAAAAAAAAATGTTATAAAGTTGTTAGATTTGGCTTGAATGCGCTCAAAAATTTTGGTCAAGTACTTATCAAAGATATTTCACTTGGTTTGACCAGGAAATTGGAGCTTCGTTCATAGTGGCTCTGTGACTACTACTAAATTTCAAAAAGGAAGCTCTTATGGCTTATGTGGGAATATTATAAGTTATGTTTTGAAAGCATTTGGAGAAATCTTATTATTATTATTATTATCTCTATTTAGGAGATTTTCAGCCGCAGGCAAAATTGGAGAAATCTTCCATTTTTGTAAGTAAGAAGATAAAATATCTAAACTTTTTTGCAGTCTGCTGCAAATAACACGAAGACTTCTTCCTTTAATGGAAATGTCTGTGTCATCGGCGATCAAAGATTTGTGGCAACCCTGAAGCAAATCAGGAAGGTCCGAAGTAATATAGTAATACAATATAGGCCCAAGAATGCTACCCTGAGGAACTCCTGCTCTAACAGGTAGTCGTTCAGATTTGGAATTTTGATTATTTACCTGCAACGTTCTGTCAGTTAAATAAGTTTGAACTAGTTTTATAATATAGTGTGGAAAATTAAACTTTTTTAATTTGGCAATCAAACCATCATGCCAAACACTGTTGAATGCTTTTTCTATGTCTAGTTGAGCAGCCTTCATATTTGTTTGAACGAATTAAATTGGTAACTCTTGGCTCATCTGCTATAATTGAGCTCGTATTGATGTGAAGCAAGATTATCATTTCAAAAAGCTTATTTATTGAAGGAAGCAAATTTACTTGGACGGTAGCTAGAAGCTTCAGGTGACATCCGATTTCAAAATTTTAACAATTTTTGCATTTTTCCATTTATCCGGAAAGTATGCCAAATGAAAACCTCCGTTAAATAATTTTACCAAAAAAGACAAAGTACTCTCTTTGAGTTTTTTGATGAGGATATAGAAAATTGCATCATCACCTGGAGCTTTCATATTATGAAACTTTTTAGTTATAGATCTTACTTTGTCCTAATCAGTCCCTCAGGAATCATCAAAAATATTTTCCAGGTTTTTGTAGTTTTCTCAAAATATTTGCAAGCTTCCAATAGGGTTTGGAACTCCTCGAGTTTAATTTCAAAACATTATTTTCAGACATTATTGGCAGAAAATAGCTATTTAATTTTTTTTTTTGCAAATCCCGCCAGAAACTTTCATG